GTGGACAGCAGGTATGAGCCGGGGGAGTGGGGGTGACTAAAACCTCATGGGTCGGGGGGCGTTCCGGTCCGTCCTTCACGCCCTACCGAGGTCACAAGTCGCCCCCTGCGAGCGGCTCTCCAGCACGGCCATGGCCCCAGAAGCACAAGGACTTAATGCAGAACCCAGCAGCTTGGAGCAGAAAAGTGAACGGACTATGCGTTGACCCAGGCCATCAAGTCTGCCGGAGGGGAAAGGGTGTTGCCCCATTCGCCCTCTCCTCTCTGGAAAGAAAGATGGCGGCCACATGGGTGCCTTGTGGACAGCAGGTATGAGCCGGGAGTGTGGGGGCGACTAAAACCTCATGGGAAGGGGGGCGTTTCGCTCCGCCCTTCACGCCCTACCGAGGCCACCGGTTGCCCCCCGCGAGCAGCTCTCCAGCACGGCCACGACTCCAGAACACAGAAACCAGTTTCTTAACTATCTGACTTTCAGTAGAAATACTTCCAGGGTCAATAGGTAAAATAGCAGAAATCCAAAACCAACATTTAATTCTTTAACCCAGCTGTAGAAAGCAAATCACTTCACAATGCTTTTTCAGCATGTCTGATTTGGGGGGGGGGGTAAACTCTAAATAATAGTGGTGAATCTTTTATTGAAACAATGAATCTAATCAAAGCAGATAGAGTGTTAACTAGAATTCATCTGCCTCACAGGGACGGGGAGGGGTGGGGGGTGGGGTTTTATTGGGGTTCTTCATGGTAAAAAATAAGTATTGGTAAAGGGAAATGTGTTTGATATTTGCATTACTGAGACATAAACCTGAAAGCTTTGTAACCTTTCCCACAGTGATTCAATAAATAAATAAATAAATTAAAAAAATAAATAAATAAATCTCATTACGTGAAAAAAAAAATAATGAGATATTGTCTCACGCCAGTGAGAATGGCATTTATCAAAAAGACTGGAAACAACCGGTACTGGCTGATTTCATTATGTGTGTGTGTGTGTGTGTGTGTGTGTGGTAACACATCTCTACACATACATATATGTACACACAACAGGTATCTATACTTATGTATTTTTAGTGCGCTTGCACATTCATAAATAACATATCCATGTGATCTTAAGTTCATGGGAACATTTATAATATCTTGAATGCCAGTGGCATATTAGACACCTGGCACAATAGATCTGTCAGGCAAATATTTGTTTTTTGACACATTGGGAAGCAACCACCCACATATCTGAGTAAATATAAGATGAGCCAAACTGCCAAACTTGGCTTTGTATTTCATTGGTCTAGGCAAGTAGGGATTCATTCATTAGAGACAACATTTATACAGGGCAAGGATCTGACTTGGCCAACTATAATTATAATTTATAACATGGGACATAAGTCCAATTCTAAATTAACACAGGCTTTCAGCAATCCATATTAACAATTATGTTACAAAATATTTTAAAGCAGATTTTCAGTTTTATTTCTATTTCAACATTCACTATTCTGTAAGGCATCTGGTTCTGTAAGGCATCTGGTAATAGTAACATGCACAGAATGTACCACATATTATTCTTAGATTTTTATAAATACTATCCTCTTTAATTTTCCTAATATTCTCTGGTACTATATATATGTATGTATATGCCAGATTAGTTGTGTATATATGTGACTAGTATTTATCTATCTATATGTACATATACATATAGATATGTATGCACTGCATGTTCTTCTAAATGATGTGTCACTATTAGAGGCAATTAGATAAGTAAACCTTTCCAAAGATACAGAGCTATGAAATGGAAGAGCTGAGATTTGAACCCATGTAATCTGACAATAGGATTTTCTTCATAATTATTGAATTGCATTGCCACTTGTAAAATTACAATGCCAACAATTTCAAGTTTATATTAATATGAGCACTGTAGCATTAAAGCACTGTCCTCCCATTGTTCATCGATTTGCTCGAGCAGGCACCAGTAACGTCTCCATTGTGAGACTTGTTACTATTTTTGGCATATCGAATATTCCATGTGTAGCTTGCCAGGCTTTGCTGTGCGGGTGAGATACTCTCAGTATCTTGCTGGGCTCTCTGAGAGGGGTGGAAGAATTGAACCCAGGACGGCTGCGTGCAAGGCAAATACTCTACCCATTGCGCTATCTCTTCAGCTCATCAAAAAATTCTGGGATCTCATGATAAAGTTGGGGATAATCACAAATCCCCAAGATGGAATTCTTATTAGCTGCGGGGACCTGAGGCATTATGTAAGGGTGTATTTTTTCAGGATCACTTCTGAATGCTTATCCTTGATTTCCAAATGTTAGCCAATTCTATGTCCTAGGATTTCATTGAGTCTCATGCTTTCTATTCATTTTGTATGCTGATAGCTTGCAATCTATGACAAATAAAACAGGCAAATAGTGTTAAATATATTTTTTGGACCTCCCTTACACTGTTGGGGGGCCCAACTGGTGATTTTTGGCCAACCTGGGTGGAAGTTGAAGGCAAAGTCTGTTCTGTCCATGTGGTGACATTCCATGGGCCAACTGGGCAGTGTTCAAGGGCTTCTTGGACACTCCCTGGACATGCTCAGGAGCACAGGGTGCCAGGGATCAAACTGGGGTCAGTTGCACCTGGGGCATGAGCCTTTACTCCTGTGAGACTCTGAACCTGTATAAAGTGGCTAAAACAAACTCTCAGTTCCCCATCTATTCTATTGCTCTCTTAGAGTGCTCTATTGCGTCGGATTATAATACCACTCACTAGATAGCTCAGTCTGCAAGTCTTCATGTCATAGTTGACTCATCTTACTCAGATAATTAAATTGATCCACAAATCCTGAAAGCTTGGCCTTCAAACTGTGGTGTTGCTGACTTGTAGCTCAACTAATACCAGGCAGCTCCAAACCAGCATCACGACCTTCTGTCTAGATACTTTAACCATTTCCTAAAAAATATACCTGCTTTTTGTACTGGTTTTAAAAGGATCTAGGGCTGGAGCAATAGATAGGGCATTTGCCTTACACACAGCTGATTCGGGTTCAATCTCTGGCATCCCATGTGCTACCCCACACATCGCCAGGAGTGATTCCTGAGTGCAGAACCAGGAGTAACCCCTGAGCATTGCTTGGTATGACCCCCCCCAAAAAAAAGATCTAGTTTTCATAAAGTATCCACAATTATCCTGTTATAATGCTAGCTGGATCGTCTTTTTGGCTTACAGTGTTCACAGTGTGCCAACTTCTCTCCAGGCAAAAGTCCTCACTAACTACCATCTAAAGATTCTACAAACACTGGGTCATTCTTCTTAAGACAGTACCCTCCTCTTTTTTTCCATATTCTTTTTTAAAAAAATTTTTTTATTAGTGAAACACCATGAGGTACAGTTATAGACTTATAAATTTTTGTGCTTGGGTTTCAGTTATACAATGATCAAGTACCCATCCCTCCACCAGTGCCCATCCTCCACCACCACGGGTCCAGGCATCTCTCCCACCACCCATCCCCCCCATCCCACCCTGCCTCTGTGGCAGAGCATTCCCCCTTGTTCTCTCTTCTTTTGGGTAGACAGTACCCTCCTCTTTCCCTCTCAATTCACTCCAGTCGAACTGAAAGTCTTGCTCATTTTCAAACACAACTTGTTCCCTTTTCAGACCTTTGGTCTTGCAAATCTCTCAGCCTAGAATGACCGTCAGAGAGACAAGAGACAAGCTTTCTGATCGGCGACCTCAGTTCATCCTGTCATTTGTTCAAATGTCACTGCCTCTAGGTTTCTACCATCAGCACCTCTCAATGCCAGGCCTCTGTCACTCCTGATCTTTTTATCCTGACAGATGTCTTCATGGCACTTGTCACTGTGATACACTGTAGGCTGTTGTTTGTTTACGGGCTGTCATTTGTGACACACACTAAGTTCCATGAGGGTGATATTTTCTTTCTCCTTTTTGGCCACTTCACCACTTCAATCTCTGGCATTTTGGGACCTTGGGACACAGGATAGTTGCTCCCTAATTACATGCTAAATGGCTGAGCAAGTTGCAGAATAAGGTCTCTTTATTTACAGAACCCAAGACTCAGCTTCATGTTATTGATTCTGGTGAATGACAAGCTGGTATTCTAAGCATTATGTCTCCCCATGAGCTCTCTCCCAGTTTTCAATTTAAATTTATTCTGGGGGCTCTCAGGAGGTCCTCTAGAGGCTCAAGAGGCCAGGGGGCCTCACTTGCATATCTAAACTAGTTGGGCCTGTGATTCAATGCAAGTGCTCTAGGATGTAATGCTGCTTGGACCCAGTGATGCCAGGATACCCACGTGGTGCTGGGTGACTTCAAGCTTATCCTGGTGGTGCTCACAGACATGCAAGGCTGCACCCAGTGATGTGGTGCTGGGAATAGAACCTGAGTCAGGAGCTTGCTACATTTGTGCCCTAACCACCCTATATGGATAGGACCCCAATTTTTAATAATTGTAATCTGTCAAACTACAGCACTGAGACTGTCAGAAAGGCTAAAAGCAAATAATAATTCGCCTATGCATGAGTCATAATTGGTGAGCTGAGCAGCATACCAAAAACACTGACAAGAATGATAATTATTGATGGCCAACACTGATTGATGATTAACCTGCAAATTGACAATGGTGCTGTGTTGAGAGGCTTTCTTTTCTTTCTTTTTTCTTTTTGGGTCAGACCCAGCGATGCACAGGGGTTACTCCTGGCTTATGCACTCAGGAATTACTCCTGGCAGTGCTCAGGGGACCATATGGGATGCTTGAATTGAACCCGGGTCGACCACATGCAAGGCAAACACCCTATCCACTGTGCTATTGCTCCAGCCCAGAGAGTCTTTCTTTACTGTTAGGTTTATAGTCTCCTTACAACTGGGAAGACAGCTAGACTAAACACTGCTAAGGGTGAGGTACACTCAGAATGCCAAACCTGTCAGCTACTGCTCCCAGGCAGTATTTGCCATATTCAGAAGCTCTTCCACAGCCCGAGTTAAAAGCAGTTTCCTTTACTTACCTTCCAGAATACAGAGCTCCACCTGTTAGGTGATCTCTGGATCTGGAAATCATCCTCATACTCCCAGATGGAGGTGGTGCAGTCCTCATAAAACTGGTGCAGGTAGGACCGGACTCCGTAGCGCTGGTAGCCGCCCTCCGAAGCCGCCTGCACTTGCTTGGACCCACAGACATGGCTGCAAGATCTCATCCTTCCAGCTGCAATGACAGTGTCCTCAGGTAAGTACCCGGGCTCTGATTTCAGGAGGGTAAGAACCAGTCCAAGTAATGCCAGCCTATTGGAAGTCTTTTCATTTTTTTGGTAGTTTGGGTCATAAATGGGTAGGGTACAAGAGACCATATGTGGTGCTGGGGTTTGAACTCTCTTGGCCATGTGCAAGGCAGGCGTCTAACTTCTGCCCTGTTTCTAAGTCCCCACGAACTCTTCTTATACAAAAAGACACAAATAATGGCCTTCCTTCTTTATCTATTAAAAGTAACATTGATATATAGCATCATAAGATTTCAGGTATATATCATTATAAATTCACATTATATACTATATTATAAATAAATATATATATACACTAAATAAGTACATTTAATTCATCACTAAAAAGACCATTTTCATCCTTCAGTGTACAGATACTCCCTTTTACTTGATTTCACTCATTCCCTTCTGGTAACTGTTAATTTAATCTTGTGATCTAAAAGTTCATTTCTGTTTAATTTAGATGAATACTCTGTAGATAAGTTTATATTATTGCAAATTGCAGGAGTAAATCCTTTTATTTTAACTGAACAGTATGCTTTTGTGTATGTACACACACTATATATATGTGTATAAATGAATACTATATATAACCATATATATAATACATAAATATATATATATATATATAAATTTACCCTATTATATTATCTTCTGTAATCTGTTGATGAGCACTAACATTGTTTCTAACTGTGAAAAACACTCTGATAAATAGGGGAATGATATATTTCTTCTGAATTGAAGTTTTCATATTTCTCATCTAATTTTTCTGGAAAAATCTTTTGAAAACTTCCTGTGCCAGTACCCAGATGTGATTTCATTTGGTATTATACTAAGCAGATGATTAATAAGACCCTATTACTTGTCTCTATACATAGGTAGAGTCATTTTCAAGCTACTTTGTTTGAATTCCAGTTCTTTAAAATTTGACATGTTAACAAAACTTCAGTTAAGGGGAGATGAGATTAGCATTACTAATTATGCTTTGTCACTGAAGAAACTGAGGCATAGAAAAATCATCTGCTGAAGTTTATCCTGTGAGTCAGGGAGCCGGAGATAGATGACAAGCCACTAAGCAGGAGTATGGACTGAATCATAAACTTGCATAAATAGAACAAACTTATATAAGTATCATTTTTGGGTTTCTAAAAAGCAGCTAAGATGTTAGCATTAAAAAAAAGAAAAAAGTAGGGGCTGGAGTGATAGCACAGTGAGTAAGGCATTTGCCTTGCATGCGACAAACCCGGGTTTGATTCCCAGCATCCCATATGGTCCCCAAAGCACCGTCAGGAGTACTTCCTGAGTGCATGAGCCAGGAGTAACCCCAATGTAATGCTGGGTGTGACCTGCTCCCCCAAAAAATAGGACTGAAACTTAAAAAGAAAAAACTCCCCCATAGCAAGAATCAGTTATTTTCCTGCGATGCTAGACTGTTCTTTCTCAGGACTGAGCTCCGAGGCAGTGCGGGACAGTGTCATGGTTAGTATTCATGCCCTTCACAGCTTGTTTCCAGCACATTAGGTTAAGTGTTTCTGCTTTATAAGATCAGACTCGGTAGTCCAACTTTGTTAAACACAAGATGGGTAAAATCCGAAAAGAGAAAGTGTCATAGAACAAATGTGTTTTTAGCTTGAGTGATGAAAGGCCCTACTCCAAGTCAGAATGGATTTTAGTGATGGCAGATCTGTGCCAGAAATGGCATCTCCATGAGCCTTACTTGCTATTCCAGGAGTGCAAAGCTCAAGGACAGAGTCTGCGCAGTCACTTGCTGTCCATAGCATCTCAAGCAAGCACTGGGCCCTCATCCTTCATGTTAGAGGGTTTGGGACTGGAAGAGATGGTAGAGAGGGCACTTGCCTTGCATGCAGCCAATACAGGTTCCATTCCCGGTACCCTGCTTAGTACCCCGAGCTCTTCCAGAGTGACCCCTGAGTGCAGAACCAGGAATAAATCCTGAACACAGCTGGTGTGGCCTCCAGACAAAAAAGCACAACACAAAAAAGCACAACACAAAATAAAAGCACCCAAACATCCTAAGATGGTTGGACAAGATAATTTTCACCTCCTTCCACATAGTTTTCCAGGAGTCATTGGCTGTGAGTCTACAGAATGGGTTGATAATATTTGCTGCAAAAACAACTGGGCAGGCTGGAATGATAGCACAGTGGGTAGGGCATTTGCCTTGCATGTAGCCAACCCAGGTTCAATTCCTCCATCCCTCTCGGAGAGCCTGGCAAGCTACCGAGAGTATCCTGCCTGCATGGCAGAGTCTGGCAAGCTCCCTGTGGCATATTCAATATGCTCAAAACAGTAACAAGTCTCACAGTGGAGATGTTACTGTTGCCTGCTAGAGCAAATTGATGAACAGAGGACAGTGCTGCAGTACTAAACAACTGGGCTTACCAATTTCCCACTTCTACCATTATCCTTAGCGGTAGGGCGTTTGCCTTGTACGCAGCCAACATGGCCGAGTTCGATTCCTCTGCCCCTCTTGGAGAGCCCGGCAAGCTACCGAGAGTATCTTGCCCGCACGGCAGAGCCTGGCAAGCTCCCCGTGACGTATTCGATATGTCAGACACAGTAACAACAAAGTCTCCAATGGAGATGTTACTGGGCCCGCTCGAGCAAAATGATGAACAACGGGAGGGCCTTTTATTCTAAATCCTAATTACAGAGTATTATTTTATTTATAGTTCGGTATTGTAAAGCTTCTGTTTCTTTTATTATCTACATTTTAAATTGTTACTGTATTTAAGATAACATTCTCACAATAGCGTTTATGATTATGGTCTTGATGTACAGTTACTAAGCCCCCCCCCCCCCCCACCACTAACATGACCCATGCCCCTCACCCACGCCCCTGTGGGACCTTTAGTTCACCTCCTTATTCCCCTCCCCTCCGCCATCTTGGTGAAGATTCTGCTTAAAGGCACATAAAAGCTGCTAGTTAGGCGAGTTATTTGGCATTAAGTATACCAAATGGCTGCACACAGTTTCTTTAACAGATTACTTCTGGTATCAACTATGTCGCCTAAAAATAGTAGTCCCAAATTTAACATGACTGCTGCTTTGGTTGCTGTTAACCTCTCTCTGAGAGGGACGGAGGAGTTGAACCTGGGTTGGCCACATGCAAGGCAAACGCCCTACCTGCTGTGCTATCGCTCCAGTCTGCCCAGTTGTTTATGCAGCAAATACTATTAACCCATTCTGTAGACTCACAGCCAATGACTCCTGGAAAACTATCTGGAAGGACGTGAAAATTATCTTGTCCAACCATCGTAGGATGTTTGGGTGCTTTTATTTTGTGTTGTGCTTTTGTCTAGGTAGGTCTTAGAGATTTCATTGCTTTTTCCAAATATATATCTTGTTGGAATTGAACCCTAAAGGAGAACGGCCCTGTAAAAAACATGCATTTTGCGTGTACCAGATCTCTCTGTAGTGAAGTCCCCATGAAAAAACATCGCAGCTCTTTGGAATCTACTTGGTTGACTGATAGCCCCAGTATCACAGAAAGAATACATGAGGCCATTTTATGGTTTCTTTAAAAGTTGCCAATTATTTCTAATAAACTAGGGTTGAGAAGAAAGAGGAAGTAGGTCAAAGGGCTTGATTTCATCTCTTCTTTTCTCTTTTAAAAAGCTATCTTAGCATTTATTTGATGAGTAAGGTTCTGTCAGAATCCTAATGTTGGCATTTGAATATCCACGTTAACAGCAACCAAAGCAGCAGTCATGTTAAATTTGTGACTCCTGTCAGGAGTCTAATTCAGGAGGACACTTTTTTTCCCCTCCCAAAGAGTAATCCTTAACATTCTAGGAAGTGTGTTAATAGGGACAAGGGATATAAATGAAAATACTTGTATTGTACTTTTGTTGGTTTGGAGTCATGTTCAGTGCTGTTCAGGTGTTGCCAGGGATCGATCCTGGGCCATGATGTGTAAGGCTAGTGCAGCCCACCCGGGATTGTATGCAGTTGAGCCATGTGCTGCTCATTTTGTCAACAGTCCCCTGGCGTTGTGGCCTCCTGGTTTCCAGTGTGGCCAGCAGGACTGAGCACAAGCCACATGTGTGTCTGGGAATTTGGTCAGACGTCTGAACGGGAAGTTGTTTTCATTTTCCCAGAAAGACATTCAACATGCTGAGAGAGGAAGAGTCACCTGCACTGTTGCTTCTTTTATTTACCAGTTTGCCTTGGAGGTACAGTTATGCACTGAGTGTTCATTTCTTTACAGCGTGTCTATTGAACCCCAAAGACCCCCTGGATGGAGAATTTCTGAACTCATTCTAGATTCTTTCGAGAGGCTCACTACAGTCAGCATATTAAATACTGCTTATCTCCCACTCTGTTCCCTTGACCGGGTTCGCTTCTCTTTATAGCATTTGTTCTGATTTGCTGCTTTGTCCTGTGGCTTTTTTGTTTAGAGACTTCCAGACTGTGTGCAGAGTAGACTGTAAGCTTCTGGAAGACAGGGGCATCTCAGGTCCATCACCTTCATCTCAAGCACTTTGAAACCTTTTGGTATGGATTCACTTGTGTTGATGGGGGTGATAACTTGGGTGGTCATTCATTTTATTACTATTTTATTTTGGTTTCATTGATTTTATTTATTTATGCCATACCCAGCAGTGTCAGGGCTTACTCCTGGCTCTACACTCAGGGCTCACTCATGGCGGTGCTCAGGGGACCCTGTGGGGTGTCTGGGATTGAATCTGAGTCAGCCATGTGCAAAGCAAACGCCTTCCTTGCTGTACTATGTCTCCAGGTCCTGTTTTGATACTTGAAAGCCCAAATTATTCTCTAGGTCATGGGAGACAATGGCTTCAAATATTCCTGGTCTGCCAAGGAAGCTTCTTAAAGGGAGAAATACGCACAAAGCAATCAGGGCAACAAAACAGGCACCAAAACCAAGTATTTGCAAAGGGGGTTTGGGGGGGAGGTAATACAATTGCTTAGATTCCCTTGAACAATCGTCATATTATGCAATCAAATTCATTTATGTGCTATTATGAGCTCTATGTGTAACAATACATTATAGTAGCCATTTGTTGGAAATTTAATTTTGAGCCTAATGTAGTTACTATTTATCTCACTTGAAAAATGTTCAGAGCTATGAAAACAGAAGTTAAGTTTTTCTGCCTCATGAAACTCCAAGAACACCGATGATATTGTTTTTTCTTCCTGGTCTTCTGGAGAGAAGAGAGGCAGAAATTTGAGGTACAAAAAAGATGAGTGTTTTCTCCTGGCTGTAGGTGTGAGTCACTTGTGAAGCCAAGCACAGGCTCTGTTATGTTTATTCTCTTTGAAATATCATTCAATATTTTTGCACCGCTTTTCTCTGCCATAGCCTCGTTCTGAGATAATGAGTGAAGATCCCATCCCTCCCTCTCAGAGCACTCTCCATAGGGCCAGCGAGGCAAGTTTTAGTCACCTGGCCCCTTCAGGCCCTTGGCCAACACCAAACCAAAAGGTCAAGTCACATTAAAGACTTAGAGTGGCTCAGGAAGGCCTGGAAGCCTGAGGGAAGTCTTTTCACTTTCAAATTAGGTATTCTGAAATTATGTAAGTATGACCTTAAAATATGAAAATGTGTTTCTAGCTTATTTCAGAGATTATTTTTTATTTTCCTGGAGCACTGAGATTAAGACTCCATATTAAATGCTCTTTTACATCCTCTAAATTAGCAGCTAAGTAGCCACTTTCATAAATTGAAAAGGGGGCAATGATAAACAATTACTTTACACTATCATGAACATATAGTCAGTAATGCATGTAGAGTCCACACAAACATGAGAATATGAAAGTCATTCATCTTTTCCTTAAATCTTTTCTTTACAAGCAAACCACAGTTTGCTTTGGCTTTTAGGTGGTAAAATTTGACTCTTACCTTAGATGTTCTCCTTCTTCTTGCTGTTTTCTCCTGGGCCTTTCTTTTCAATGGCACATTTTCCAATCCTATTGAAGGGGGAAAAAAAAATCTCTGCAGCATTTCATCTAGTTAACAAGCTAAATTTCATCAGCTATTCTTAGGACTTGTTAAGAATTATTTTAATGTTGACCAGAAAACCGACAAGGACTCCTTGTTCCAGATCAGAGATAACATTTGAAACCAAAGTACAACATTTTATAAGTTTTTAATGAGTTCTCAGGAGAGTGCAGAGAGCAAATCAGATGGCATACGTGAAAAGGGCTTTGCAAATTATAACATCATATACAAATGCTATTCTTACTTTGATTGTTTAGATTCTAGTGGCCAAAGGTACAGAAAGATTTGTATCTTATAAACTCTAAAACACAGACAATTTGCTTCATTGGCACTGGAGGATTGCTCTGTTTCCTACTGATTCCACTGCTAAACACTTGAATTTTATGATCTTTGCATATTTTTGATCTGCTTACATGCATTTGAAAAAAAAATTTTTGTTTGTTTTAAATGTATTAGTTTCATACTTCTGCCTCCTCTGCACTCAGGGATCACTCCTGGCAGGTTGATTTTTCTCCTATGTCCATTTTCTCCCTATCAGGATCATTTAACTTTCCTTCTGCTTAAGAAAAACAGGTGCCCATGCAAGATTTAATTTAAAAGCCATTGCCTGCTATCAAGCCGTCGGTTTCCTACAGTACTCTCGTTTTGCAAAATAAAATAAGATGAGATAGAATAATGCCTATTTTTCAAGGGGGCAGCAAGAATTCCATCCTTTTGCAGGAGAGCCTGGGGGATTTGAGCTGAGTAAGCTGAGCTGAGACCTGCGCAACTATTTTCAGCATTTTTCAGGTTTACACTGACCATAACCAGACCTTCAAGGCTTATTTCCGTGCTCCCCTCCTCCCAGTTCTATTCTCTCTGTGTGTAAGCATATTTGGGGAAAGAAGCAAAAACTGCTTGGGGATCTTGAACATGGATGAGCCAAAGAAAACATTTCACTATTAGCCTCCTCAGCCCTAGTCACCACCACTAGTCTCTGCAATTAAATTTCCCTTCATTTTCTCGGTCACCTTCTCGCTTTCTTGGTAGGAATCCACTTTCCACTGCCCTTCACAGAAGGGCCTGATCAGGAGCCCAAGAGACCTTGGAAAATACATTTCTGCGCCTGAGCCAAAAATCCAATTCAACCAGCTCCAGCTGTTTAAGTCCAGCTGTTCTCTCAGAGGTCATCACTCTGGGCCCGAGGCCCACCCGTTGCCGTTTCTGCTCAACACAGGTAGATCCTCCACAAACCCTCAAAAACATCTTTACCAAGGCAAGCGAGTAGGAAGGGCCAGTGGGGGTTAAATCCAGCCTGCAGAAGAAATCGAAGCTAATTTATTTTTCCTTTCTGCCAACTCCAAATCTATATGTCCATTCATTTACTCGTACCCAGAGACAACTTTCCTGCTCTGACAAGCCAAGAAACTCTTCAAGCGGTTCCTACCCACCGCCCCGGTTCTTACATAACGCGAACCCCCAAGTCGCTGGAGCACAGAGAGTTGCTTGCCCCTAACGGGGATGTCTCCACAGATTTTTCCACGCGTGGATTTTTGCAGCGATTCGTGCACGCCAGAAAGCATCCCTGGACGAGTGATGCTGTGTGTAGGGGTGTGTATGTGTGTGTGTGTGTGTGTGTGTGTGTGTGTGTGAATATTTGGTGTTTCAAGAGAGAGAGGAAAGGAAGGGAGGCGAGGGGGACCTGGAACCAGGCGAGTGGAGCTCAGGAAGCCGCGCCCCCGGCTCTGCATGCGTTACCTGGCCCCTCTGATGGCCCGACCCGTGGAGCAAGTGCAGCCGGCTAGCCGCAGATCTCTCGCCGGGGTCCCATCGCCTCTGCCTCTGCCGCCGCCGCCGCCGCCGCCGCCGCCGCCGCTCCCGCCGCCGAGCTCAACCTGCGCAGGATTGACAGCCCGGCGGCCGCGCGCCCGCGCAGCCCAGGCCCGCGCGCCCCCGCCGCCGCCGCCGAGCGGCCACGTGCGCGCGCTGCGCGGGCCCGAGCTAGAGGGCGGGGCCGGGGGCGGGGCCGGAACCGCTGGCGCCAGCCCAGAGGGTGACGGGCACTCCCCGCCCTGCAGACCCTCCCTGCCCCGGCTAGGGCGACCCGACCTGTCTTTGCTACCTCGCCCTTTGTTTTTTATAGAGCTCGATGCATCCCCATCGGGTCTTGGCAACCTCATCAACTGAGCAGTCTTTAAAATTTATCTTAGTTTTTTTTATATTAATTTTTTATTTTATTGAATCACCGTGAGATAGGGCGTTACCAGGCTGTTCATGATTGGGTTTCAGTCATACAGTGTTCCAACACTCATCCCTCCCCAGTGTAATTTCCCAGCATCAATGACCCCCAGTTTCCTCTGCCCACAAAGTGGTCCACCTGCCTCTATGGCAGGCACTCCTTTCTCTCTCTCTCTCTCTCTCTCTCTCTCTCTCTCTCTCTCTCTCTCTCTCTCTCTCTCTCTCTCTCTCTCCCTCCCTCCCTCCCTCCCTCTCATTTTAAGCATTGTGGTTTGCAATACAGATGCTAACCAGTTACCATCATACATCCTTTCATCTACATTCAACACTCAGTTCTTGTCCAAAGTGATCATTTCCAACTAATGTTGTCATAATGGACCCCCGCTATCTTAACTGCCCTCCACCCCAGCTACCCTTGTGGTAACTTCCAACCACTGACCAGACCACTTCTGGGAATATATCCCGAGGGTCTAAAAACACACAGCAGAAACACCATCTGCACGGCTATGTTCATTGCAGTACTATTCACAATAGCAAGAATCTGGAAACAACCTGAATGCCCAAGAACAGACTACTGGATCTCTATGTTACATCTACACAGTGGAATACTACACAATTGTTAGGGAAAAGGGGGTTATGGGATTTGTCTATAAATGGATGGATTCGTAGAGTAACATGCTGAGTGAAATGAGTTAAAAAGGAGAGAACAGATATAGAATGACTGCATTCATTTGTGGGCTATATAAAACAAAAATAGTATGAAACTAATATCCAAGAGCAGGGAAAACAGCAGTTTTCAAGTGAATGTTGTGATGTGTGTCTTCCACCATCATCCGTCCCACTTAGAAAATGTCCCACTTAGTTTGTCTCCATCCTGCTTCTGTCTGGGGTCCCCTGGGAGACACAATGTGAGGAGGGTCCCTTGATGGGAAGAACCCCACTCGGTGAAGAAACCTGTTTGCTTCCAACAGTTCTGGGTTCTGCCAGTGAGTCTGAGGGGTGATGTGGAAGAACAAGGAAGGATGTACCGGAATATTTGTGTGGGTGCAGGCTTACAAACACAAAATGACATTTCATGGAAGTGATGAAAGTAGTCAAGTATTTGCCCACTCATTCTACACGAATTAACATCTAATATTCACAAAGTGTTTATGGAGCAAAGTGTTGCTCAGAGTACTTATCATCAAACATATGCATAGTAAAACTTCAAATCTGCACACCAAATCTATGATGTAGGTATTCCTCATTATTATTGTTATTATAGTTTAGATAATGTGGTTATCGTAGTGTTAACATTCCTGGTATTGATCTACAAAGTTACTGCATCTTCACCACCACCAAGGTGCCCAATGCCCTCGGCCACTGTTCTCATGGTACTTCTTGCTCATCACTCTCTTCATTCTCCCCACTGCTTACTAACCTGAATTTTTTAATCCAGTGGTTGTTATTATTCATCTATTCACTTCTTTTGTTTCTTGGTATTCAACAGATGATTCGAACTGTAAGTATTCGCCCTTCTCTATCTGAGTTATTTTGTATAACATGATGCGCTCAGTTCCATCCAAGTTACAGAAAATTGCAAGATTTCATCTTTTTTTTTTTTATAACTGAGGAGCATTCCATTGTGTATATGGATCACAGCTTCTTCGTTCATCTGTCATCGGACATTTGGGTTTGTCTGTATCTTACTTCTTGTTCTTAGTGCTGCAACGGACAAAGGTACGCACATGTCTTTTCAAACGAATGCTTTTGTGTTGGGGGATGGGTCAATGCCAAGAAGTGAAATTGCTGGATTTGTTCTACAGATGAGATGGCTGAGGCATAGAGAACTGACTTGAGATCCTGATGATCCAGACTCATAACTGTCACAGGTCACACCTCTATTAAAGGGGAGAAGTAGGCTGGGATCTACAAGATCATTTCCCAGAGGGAATTAATATAAGTAACAAGCATACTTACTGAACTATAATTATTAATTAATATAAGCATAATAAGAATAAGGAATATTCTACCTCAAACCAGTCAGGAACAACTGGAACAGACCAAAGTAGATGTTGAGAAAATTCTTTGAAAAAAAAAAAAAAGTAAGGATGGGAACAGCTTGCTTTTTTTCCCCCTTCAAATTCACAGAAACACTTGAGCGTGGTTCAATACTATTTTTTTTTTTTAAAAACTTACACCACTGAAGCTTCTGGGGCGCTGGTGCAGGGAGGAGGGTCACATTTCTTTCTCTTTTAGTCTTCATATAAGTGCACAGTTAATAAATTTTGGCGTCTTGCTACTAAGCTTGCTTTCTCATAGATTGGAATGGGTCTGCTGCATGTTTATGGAGTTATTCTTAGATTGTGCTGTGGCTATTGTCCTGTCCTGGGTCATCTCTAGGAATCAATACAATGGGGAAGTACATGTGCTGAGAGTTACAATTGTATCAGATTCTGGGGTTAGGGAAGAACCGTACAGACTTTCTTTTCTGGTGATGGGATTGTTGTTGAAATATTGAATGTAATCAATTATTGTGAACAACTTTATAAAAATAAAATTGAAAATTAAAAAAAATTTACGAGCACATCTTCCCTAGGTTCTCTAAACCTCAAGTAATTTGAATTATGAATAAAAATAAGATCTGATTTTTACTGCCTCAGTTTCCCTTGAAATGTGAATGACTAGTATTAGCTTGTCTTTCACAAACCATACATTTTTTTAAAAAAATGTTATTATTGAATCACTGTGAGGTACAGTTACAGACTTAAAAATTTTTGTGCTTGCGTTTCAGTCATACAATGGTCGAGTACCCATCTCTCCACCAAGTGCCCATTTTCCACCACCAAAGGTCCCAGCATCCCTCCCACCACCCTCACCCTCTCCCCTCCACCTCACTGCACCTCTGTGGCAGGAAATTCCCTTTTGTGCTCTCTCTCTCTCTCTCTCTCTCTCTCTCTCTCTCCTTTTTGTGTTGTGGTTTTCAGTAGACATATTAAGTGGCATCATTTCTGGTCTATTGTCTACTTCAGCCCACATCTTCCATCCCAAGTGGGTCCTCCTAGCACCCTTTACTTGGAGTTTCCTTTTCTGTCTGAGCTGCCTTTTCGCCCAGCATGTGAGGCCAGCTTCTGAGCTGTGGAGTAATCCTCCTGATACTTATCTCTACTGTTCTTGGGTGTCAGTTTCCCATGCTGTTACTTTATATTCCACAAATGAGTGCAGTCTCTTTATGTCTGTCCCTCTCTTTCTGACTCATTCACTTAACATGATACTTTCCAAATTGATCCACCTATATGCAAATTTCATGATTTCATCTTTTCTAACAGCTGCATAGTATTCCATTGTGTAGATGGAAACCAAAGTTTCTTTAACCAGTCATCTGTTCTCGGGCACTCAGGTTTTTTCCAGATTCTGGCTATTGTAAACAGTGCTACAATGAACATATAAGTGCAGTCATTTCTACTATACATTTTTTGCATCTCTGGAATATATTCCCAGAAGTGGTATTGCTGGGTCAAATGGGAGTTCAATTTCTAATTTTTTGAGAAGTGTCCACACCGTTTTCCAAAAGGGCTTAACTAGTCAGCATTCCCACCAGCAGTAAAGGAGAGTCCCTTTCTCCCCACATCTGTGCCAACATCAGTCACTTTTGTTCTTTTGGATGTGGACCAATCTCTGTGGTGTGAGATGGTTTCTCATTGTTGTTTTGATCTTCATCTCCCTGATGATTACTGATGAGGAGCATTTTTTCATGTGTCTTTTGGCCATTCGTATTTCTTCTTTGAGAAAGTTTCTTTTCATTTCACTGCCCCATTGTCTGATGGGGTTAGATGTTTCTTTTTGTGGAGTTCAACCAGTGCCTTCTAGATCCTTGATATCAACCCATTATCAGATGGATATTGGGTGAATATCCTTTTCCATTCTGTAGACTGTCTTTGTATTCTGGTCACTGTATCTTTTTTTTTTTTTAATGAATCACCATGAGAACAGCCACAAAGCCTTTTAGTTCAAGTCTCAGTCGGTCATACAATGATCAAACACCCATCCCTTCACCAGTGCACATTTTCCACCACCAAGAACCCCTGTATACCCTCCTTCCACCCACCCCTCGCCTGTGTGGCAGATTTCCACTTTATTCTCTTTTTCTACGTTGATCACATTCAATATTATGATAAAAGACCCAACATTGCTATTTGGAATTTTCCCCAACATTCAGACCTGCCACGAAGACATCATTAGAAAATTTGTTTTCTATTGCTGATTATAAAGAGCATATGATGTCATGTGGCCACAATAGCGGCCACATGAATTTGGATTTCTGATATTTTAGTAATAAACCTAGAGGATTACTGCCAGAAGCCCTGGTATGCCTCTGATCATGGTCGGTCAGAAGCTGGAGGAGGTGTTTGAGGGTGGCAACCCAGACAATTGTCAAGGTGGGGAGCAGGGCTGATTCCACCCCCATCCCATGAAGGCCCACATGCCTCGTCATGACAGTCTTATACCTGGCTGTTCATTAGGGTCAAAAAGATGCAGGGCACCATGTCGCCGCCGCAAAGGGGGACAGGCAGAGGGGCAGACACCCTTCCCCTCCCAGGGCAGCATAGCACCATAGTTAAATACACAGTCCAGATGTATTTCAGTTGAGCATTATCTTTTGCTCAGATTTTCCCACCACCACTCAAGCCTGATTTTCA